AAAAATTCACATTTTTGAAATACTCCGAAACTGTAACTCCGAAACGGTAACAGATATCGATATGCGGTTTTCACCATCCTATTTTTGACAAAAATTGAGCTACAGACACCAATATTAGTTTTTATCTATCTCCTATAGAAAAAGGTGTTTCCCTTTAAAAGCGTTCAATTTGGCCCACCCTGTACGATATAAAAATATACATAATATTAATTGTAGATATTATAAGCATATCAACTTCAAATGCAACAAGTTTCTAATGCTCTACATGTTCGAAAGGGTTACCACCATCTCTATTATACACATTTATTTTTCGTTCAATTTTAGGTATATCTTTTCAAGAGAACTTCTTCTTATACTTCCGAATGCATTTTATACTCTTTATTGTAAATGTTGAGGTGTATTGATTTCACTATTACAAATTACGTCAAGTAATGCCCCCACTCCTTGGCGACAGGCCCAGGAACCTCGCTGGCCATTATAATGCTCCACCATTTCCAATCTATCTTCCGGGAAAATGATTTGATTGTTTATATTATATTTATTTTATTGTATTTGATTTTACCTATTCTATGTTTTATCTCACGTCGTTAAGTTTTAAAGCTCATCAATATTGTAACAATGAATAGATTAAATATTAAAAAAAAACAAAGCCGGGCTTGAAATTAGTTTAAATAAATTGTGTTTAAATGCCCGAAACAAAAAAAAAGTGTGGCATATCGTTGTACTCAGGAGACCGAATTGTTTCAAAACCTGAAATAAAGAATGCAGGTCCGTATTTAAACAAATCAAGTTGGCCTATATATTTTATAAATTATCAGCTAATTTAAAAATCTAAAAAAATATCAGACAGCCCTGATAAAGTGGCTATGATGACAGGAAAAAATAATATTGATTCTCAAAAAAGTCCGTTTCCAAATAACTTAGCAATCCTTGAATTTTATTAAAACTTTTTTGATGGTGTCTTAACTAACCGAGACCGAGATACCAATGCTCGTACCTCGAATTTGTAACACCCGGCATAGTGTATACACATATAACAATATAATATATTATAGTATAAACACATTCTCAAAGAAGCTGTTTTAACTTCTTCGTTAAAAATCAACTTTATTTTTTTAAATGTGGACCTGTATTATTTATTTTCTCTTTTAAATGCTTATGGACCTCCCCAATCTCCCCAATGCAATGATGGGAGCAACGTTTTCCATAGTCAATTTTCCATCCGGAGATAAAATAGTTTATTAATGGTGTCGTATGTTTACGACGTTCTCCTCCTCTTATTTCTCTGAAGTGTAATCATTAGATTATGGCGACAATTAACTTTATTATCAGGACTGGTTTCACATCGTTAAGCTCAGAATTTATATGTGAAAACTTTGTTTTAACTCACAGCTTAGAATATTCTCTTGAGAGCTTGTTAATGCTTATAATATTCCTGGTATTAAATTTAATAGGTTAATATCCTATGTTTGATATTCTCTAGATAATATAAATAATGCTTTAATCGTTTCTTTTTTCTTAAACCTTTAGATTATATCCATATATTTTTTCCTTTTCTTGGGTATGACGTTTTTTTTGTATATAAATGAGTAAAAACCTCATACCCAAGAAAAGAAAAAAAAATGGCACAGGGAGGCACGTATAGCTGCCCATACTAAAATATGTAAATAAAAAGTTGGTAGGCAGTTCTTTTAGTTTCAAAGTAAAAGAATTTTTCCATTTTTTTTATGTTATTACAAATTTTGTTGCAAATATTATTCCTAATCTTAAATTGAAAACCGCGTTTCGCTAGCTACTGCGATTTTGGAGTTACGATTTTTTACAATTTTTAACCCCCTCCCATACCCCCTTACCAACCCCCACCCCCACCAAAAACTAATGGCCAGATTCTCGGGTGCCACAGTATTTTTGTGCCACATTTGGTTAAAATCGGTTTAACGGTTTTTGAGTTATCGTGTTACAGACGGACAGACGGACAGACGGACAGACGGACAGACGGACAGACGGACAGACGGACAGACGGATAGACGGACAGACGGACAGACAGATAGACAGACACCATGAAAATATTTTGTATTTAGGTCATTTATGACTCAAATAACTCATTTTGAGTGAAATTAAAAAAAACTTTTTTTTGCCGATCTTAATAATAAATAAAATCTAAAATAAAATATATCAATAACAATATAGCAATGAACATGATACCTTATATATTTATAATTTGTTATTAATAAGTGATAAACCAGAAAAATATTTTCTTAGATTTATATATTTGTTAGATTTATTATTATTTTGTCATAATTTAATATTTTGTCATAATATAAAAAGAACTGATACACTTTTCTTTAATAAATGGGATTGATTTAATTTTGGATTGAAACACATGATTTAATTTAAAAGAAAAAAAGATCTGTGAGTATAACAGAAGGATATGAAAGCATGACAGTTATCCTTAAATATATGACTAGTAATAAATGGTGTATAGTTTTTGGTGTAAGAATTTTTGAAGTAGAGAAACCTAGACGTAAATTTGTTGATAATTTAAAGAATTACTAGTAAACCAAAGATTAATATTCGTAATGCATAAAAACAGCCCATTGGTGGATAATAATTTACTATTTTTGATTTAAAAACAACATAACATGTGATGTCAACATTTTTTACGTGTTATTGTATTCGGGAACCTTCGGCAGCATATTCTGCAGATAAAAATAAGTAAAAAAATGTATAAATTTATACTCTAAACTGCTTCGTTTAGAAAAAACAGGGTGTAGATGTTTTAGTTTTAAATATGTTTTGATAGTTTAAGAAATATTACTAATTAAATAAATAATAATATTCTTTCAGCCTTACTAAAAAAATTATTAAAATATAAGAAATGTCCTAAAATCAAAACTATACTAGGTATTTGCTATAGTTGGTCTGTACACTTACTTTCCTATAAATATCATAATCTTAATCCATACAGAGTGTTCAAAATTCTATATCAACCTTTCCAAAATATAAAACAGTTTTTCTTCGATTTTTATATATCGAACACCTTATACAGGGTGGTCCGAACTGTATTCCGGAAGCTTCGGCAACATATTCTGCAGATAAAAATAAGTAAAAAAGTTCTTATAAATGTATGTTCTAAAATTCTTAGTTTCGGAGATACAGGGTGTAGAAGTTTCATTTTTATTTCGATTTTTTAATGTGTATACAGGATGTTTTGAACAATCTGGTCAATGAATCACGATCCTGCTTAAAGCACTTGACGTAAAAAGCTGATTTTTGGAAAACGGATTGACTTTAGGGTGTAGAGATTCGATAAGACGGGATTTTTCGAAACTGGAATTCTAAGGGGGTGAAACCACCATTAGAATATTTTTTATTTCAAAACTGGTGAGTTTTTCGGAAAAACTCTTAAACACGTAATTTTATTTTGTTGTTTTGCATATTTTAAGATTTTTTAAAAATTTATACAGGGTGTTTCATAAAATATGACCATTGAGTAATCACGATTCTGCTTAAACTGCTTGGCGTGTAAAGCTGATTTTTGGCAAACGGATTGACTGTGGGGTGTAGAGGTTCTATAAGGAGGGGTTTCTCGAATCTCAAATTCCAACATGGTGAAAAAGCCCCTCAAATATTACAGTATTTGTTATTTAAAAAACGGTTAGTCTTTCGGGAAAACGCTTGGACACGCATAATTTATTTTGGTTTTTTACATATTTTGAATTTTTTAAACAATCATACAGGGTGTTCCAAAAAGTTGGGTAATTGATTAACCACGATTATGCTTAAACTGCTTGACGTAAAAAGCTTATTTTTGACAAACGGATTTTTCGAAAGTCAAATTCCAACGAGATGGAGGGATTTTAACAACAACAACAAACAACAACAAGACCAGTTTCTAAGGAACAACAAGATCAGTTCCTAAGGAACTTAACTTCTCAACCTCTAGAATAGCCTATTATGCCCTTTTTGAGTCACATCTTCGTTATGCTCTTCCATTCTGGGGTACTTGCTGCGCAACAAAATTTGATCGTGTTTTCATACTTCAAAAGAGAGCAGTTCGATATTTATTGGGACTGAACAGTAGAACTCACTGCCAGAATTTCTTTAAAAATTTGAAAATACTGACTCTTCCTTCTTTATTCATTTTTGAATCCGTTTGCTTAATCCGCAAGCACATATCTGCTATTCCCGAAAGGCCATCTCATAACTATCCACTTAGGAATGCAGAGCACGATTTTTATCTGCCAACCCCGAGCTCAGAACTAGTTAAGGGTTCAATACTGTACAATGCCAAAAAAATGTACAATCATCTGCCTTTGAATATCAAATCGCTTTCATTCTTTCCCGCATTTCGCAAGGCTCTAAAATCATACCTACTGGAGAGAGCCCTATATGCGGTAAACGACTTTTTTGTTAATATTTAATTATGAACAATTTTGAATTTTAAAATTTTGATCATCTCACACACTGGTCAAAGGTCAAGTATTTAATATTCTATAACTTTAAAATTATATCTATTTACTGCGTACTGTTCTAAAATTGTCCATGTATATTCTTTTTGTAATTTTAAAGACTTAAATTTTTTTGAATTGTATTATTTGTATTGTGTATTTTTTTGTGATTTTGTTGTTTGTGAGTGCTTTGTCGATGAAGCTGTTTTGGCTTTTTGCACAATAAAGCGTTGTTTGTTGTTGTTGTTGATGAAACTACCCCTCAAATATTACCAAGTTATATAATAATATCGCCTTATTGTTTTTTCTCATGCTGACATAAATGTGAGAAAATTTTATCCAGTTTGTATGTTAATGGAAATTCTTGCTTTGCTTTATCATCACCATTACAAATGATAAATGATTAATTCGACGCGAACGAACTCGCGGGTACACGTTAGTTATTTATATTTCTGTTTCAGTTGCGAAATACCAAGGCCTTTTTCCAGAAACACATGCAAGCATCGGTAATTCATAAACATAGTAAATAAAAATACTGTCAATTCTTACCTTCCAATTGGCACAAGGAATCAGCATCGCCATAATAAACACCCCCAGCAATGGTCCTGACGTGGCCGACGTCACCAGCATAGACGACTCGATAACTCCATCTAGCATGCCCACTCCAAACGCGATGCCCATAATGATGAAGGCAAAGACGATGCCGATTATTTTGATGCTGAGTAATTGTTTCGAATCCTTCATGCCCTTGAGGGCGGGCAGCGGCCGGATAAAGTCCTCGAAAGCTACCGTCGCCAGGGAATTAATGTTCGAAACGTTCAAACTGAAACATGGACAAAACGGTGCGTTGTTTGAGATGCAAATAGATGATGTATTGTGCGGGGGATGTGGAATGGATTGTTAAATCGAACGCAAACAGGTTTTTAGAAAATAAGTATAGGAGTTTGGTAAAAGTTTACAGTTCAAACAAAAATGTTTTAGAGAGGGGACTTTATATTATCGATTTAATTGTTTTAATATAGTAGGTACAGTGGTATAATTTTGTTTTGTCCCACTTTTAACTGACTATCGTAACTTCTTTGTTTTTATATTGGATAGCATATTTTTTTATGATTTTAAAAAAGTATCAGATATCTGTATAGTAGAAGCAAACTATGTTAACATCCCAAAAAAATCCTATGGGTATTTCGCTACTGAAGAATTTAGCACTAGTGCTATTATGAATTCATAATAACACGCAAATTTTAAAATAAGAAACAAGCAAAAAAAGGTACCTAAATACGTTTATTTATTGTAAACATTAATTATAATATCAGTACAATTGGTTAAATTAATTCCAGATGATGACAGGTGAGTTGAATTTTTAGAAAGTAAATTTACTTCCTGAGTGCTTGAACTGGTTGAAGACCCATCATTGCCAGAAATGTTACCCAAAATATTACATGACACTTTTTTCTTTGGAATTTTCTATATAGCTCTCTGCCACTGTGTTAGAGAGCCAACCACCATGTCTTTTAACAGTTAATAAATCCACTCCTGAATCTGCAAGCAACGATGCAGACGATCTACGGAAACAATATCCAGTGTATTGTTGTGGATTTGGAAGACTTAGGAACAATGCTATTTTATACGGCATTTTCTCTAAAGTATTAATGCCAACGGGTTGCTTAATACATTTTCCATTTCTGTACCCCACAAAAAATCGAGTATGCTGTGTGTTGCTTGGCCGCATAGCTATATATCTTCGAACCATTTCCACCATATTTATTCCTTCAACATTCCCTTTCGTTTTAAAAAAAATCTCGTGATATCTTTGTTTTCCTAAATGGAATAATGACATGAATGCTAATGACATCTAGGCTTCATCTTTACCATTTTGCAGCTGCAGATTTGTCAACTCGATGCGCCGGCAGGCTCCCGCAAGTCCAAGTCAAAATGGAAACAATCAACAAGCACGGTTGCCACGGCGTCGACTAATATGGCCACCTGATAATTTTGAATTTTAATTTTTATGAGGATATCTCTGATATTTTAAATTAAATCAAATCTCTTTGGATCGTACCTCGTGTCGCGTCGTAGATTAAATTTTGAATGATACACGTTCGATACGAACTTTTTAATGAACATTATGATGTTCGTATCGAACTTGTATCATTAATAACTATAATTCGAGCATTTAAGGGTCTAGATGTACACCAATATAAAATTTATCACATTCACATGGTATTTTTTATATTACGTTTTTTATTTGTTGTCCAGGTGTTTATTGGTTAAATAAGTGTGTTTTGTGTTTTGAAGGATGTTCGTATGTTATATTGTTTTCCTATCCTTCTTATTTCTTCCGAAACGTCTCGTACGTATGGAATTGTGAGTTGTATACAGGGTGGTCAGAACTGTATTCCGGAAACTTCGGCAGTATATTCTGCAGATAAAAATAAGTAAAAAAGTTCGTATAAATGTATGTCCTATAAAATGCTTAGTTTCAGAGATACAGGGTGTTGAAGTTTCATTTTTATTTCGATTTTTTCTAAATAATTTCTGAAATAACGTCGATATTTGGATGAAAATTGATGTCTAGGAGTTTTTTGACATGAGAAATTAGATTTTGATGTCAATATGACTCTTATTTGTAGGGGGCGCCACCTACGTGTGTTTTAACTGTTTTGAAGCGTAATAACTTTTTGTCCGTACCTGTATAAAACTACCGAGCAAAAAAATATACATTTCAGACATAATATAGTTTGCTTCTGGGATACAGATATATGTTTATTGATTTTAAAGTAGTTAGGATCGAAAAAATGCCCCCAAAAAAGATTGGAAAATATATATTTAATCTCTGATGTTAATTTTCCAAACCCTCGTGGGGAAAAATGTTTTCTTTTGCACAAAAATACAAATCCAGAAATTGTTTATTTCTACTAAAGTACGTTAAAAAATACCATTAAAAATAATTCAATATTTATACCTGAGGGCTCCATTAAAAAGACTGGCCAAAAACAGTCCCAAAATACCAGGCAAATAACTGAAACGATCTTCGACGAAGAATGGTAAAATTTCGTCAAATTTCTGAATGTACCCCGATGACAGAGGATCACAATTGGCGTAGACTGCATATACTACCATTCCAACCACCCAGGACAAACTGAATAGTACAGTAATCACAGGAATATTGTACATTAAAGTTCTGAAAAAAATAAATAATTTATTAATAGATACTAAAATATTTTGCAAAGGATTGTATAACTTATAGCAGAATGCCCGACGCTTTTTTTTATCAAAAACATTTGAAAAAAAATATAAAGTTTAAATTAACCCTGATATTTGATATTTATTTGTTACTGGTTCAAAATGATTTTATATAAAAAATATTTTGGAATTTTGAAAAGTTAACCAAAATACTAACAAAGCTATTCGATATACCTATGCCGCACAACTGAAATAATGAAGTTACATTTCCGGCCGTTTTTATCAAAATATTTTTGGTAAAGCAAATATATTTCAATTTATCTCATGGCCAGTGTTAAATTCTTCATATTTTTGTCGCCGGTGACAAATACCGTCGCATTTCAACAATGGAAAAGCAATTATATTAGCACAATAACAAATATTGCAAACGCTAAAACTGCGAGATGGAGTATAAAACTTTTTCAATAAATTGTTTTTTAATAAATATTTATTACCAAATAAAAGAGAGTGATTTAAATGTTAAAACTATTCAGTTTATTTTTCAGCTGGCAGAATATTTTAGAATTAACAAAAACATTTATAAACTATTATCAAATCCTGTAGTAATATTTTACTATTCGAAGCTAAATATCCAAAAAAAATTATTTGGATGGCAGAAATAATAAAAGAAGATGGACGGTTTAAGCTTTTTCATTTATGAACAAATATGATGGTATTAAAAGTTTTTTTTTATACAGGGTGGTCCGAACTGTATTCCGGAAACTTCGTCAGCATATTTTACAGATAAAACTATGTAAGTAAGTTCATATAAATGTATGTCCTAAAATACCTAGTTTCGGAAATACAGGGTGTAGAAGTTTCATTTTTATTTCGAGATTTTTTCCAAATAATTTATGAAGTAACGTCAATATTTGGATAAAAATTGGTGTTAGGAAGTTTTTTTGACATGAGAAATTTGAATTTGATGTCAATATAACTCCTACTTGTAGAGGGCGCCACCTACATATCTTTTAACTGGTTTGAAGAGTAATAACTTTTCGTCCGTACCTGTATAAAACTACTGAGTCTAGAAATATGCATTTACGAAGTTTTTTACGCAAAAAAGATCTCTTGGTAAAAATCGCTACGAGTAATAGTTCTCGAGATATTTGGAATCGAAATTAATATGAATACCTATCATTATTGACATAAATTAAACATGTTGACTAAATAGTTATTAGACTGAAATCATAAATTTGAAAGGTTTTTGTGCCAGAAAGTTCAACAGAAACTGTTTTATGATTATTTTTCTCAGAAAAGTTTATGAATAATTAAAAAAAAAATTCCGAATTTATTATTTCAGTCAAGTCAACTCTCTACTCAAAACTGTTTATTTTTTGTCAATAATGACATGTATTGACTATTTTCATTCTAAATATCTTGAGAACGGTTGCTCGTAGCGATTTTTACCAAGAGACATTTTTTACGTAAAAAGTCACGGAAATGTAAATCTTTTCACTCCATAGTCTTATACAGGTACGGATGAAAAGTTATTACACTTCAAACCAGTTTAAAGATTTGTAGGTGGCGCCCTCTACAAGTAGGAGGTATATTGACATCAAAATCAAATTTCTCATATCAAAAAACTCCCAAACACCAATTTTCATCCAAATATTGACGTTACTTCAGAAATTATTTGGAAAAAATCAAAATAAAAATGAAACTTCTACACCCTGTATCTGCGAAGCTAAGCATTTTAGGACTTACATTTATACGAACATTTTTACTTATTTTTATCTGCAAAATGTGCTGCCAAAGTTTCCGGAATACAGTTCGGACCATCCTGTATATTGAAAGAAAAAATATTATCTTTTTTTTCCACCATTCAACTTTGTTTATCCAGCTTAGGAATAACTGAATTTCTTTAAAGAGAAAAAAAACAAACGATTTAAGACCCGGTTTAATGCTACGAAAAAAATATGAAAAAAAAAAATTTCAAATAAAAATAAAATAAAATTGTTGTTTTCCGAAAAAAACATATATGTATAGAACATATTTCAGACAATAGAGTTTTTTTTCTAATTGACGGTTTATGTATTAACTAGGATTTTAATTTAAAATATCAATGTTATAAATTAAATTGTTAAAAATTAATCTGATGAACGAAATTGGTGTCAGAGTACACATTGAAATTTCCGAGGGGTGTCTCACTTTAATGTACTAGCAAAGTACCATTTTACTGCCAAGCGACTGCCAATGACTGCCTAGGAAATGTACATGTAATTCCAACAGTGAGACACTCCTCAGCAATTTCCATAGATAATAATTTTAAAATACAGTTGGAGAATAACTTAATCACTTAAGATTCGCTGACGACATAGTCCTAATTGACAATAATAGTCCTGAAGAACTAGAAGTACAAACAATGAACTAAATACAGCCAGCAGTAAAGCGGGTCTCAAAATGAATTTAGCAAAAGTTAAAGTAATGTATAACAAACTAATGGAAAGAAAAGAGATTCTAATAAATAACACAACACTGGAAATAGTAGAATATATATATTTAGTATTTAGGACAACTAATACACAGCTCGGGATCTTTACTACCAGAAATCAGCAGAAGAATTAAGTTAGCATGGAGTACTTACGGAAGAGACTTTATTTAAAGGAGGAAACATTTGACCGATTATTGTACTACCAGTCATGACATATTCATGCAAAATCTGGACACTTAAAACGGATATCATAAGAAAACTGCAGGTCGCACAACACTCAATGGAGAGAAGTATGCTGGGAATAACCAAGAGAGACCGTAAAAGAGTAAAGTGAATACGACAAAAGACCTAAGTAATAGATGTCATCCACAGAGTCAAATCCCTCAAATGGCAATGGGCAGGATACCTGGCAAGAAGAACGGACAATAGATGGACCACAAAAATTAGAGCATGGTACCCACGATGAATTAAGAGATCTAGAAGAAGACCGAACCATAGATGGAGACATGATATTAGGAAATTAGCAGTAATAACTTGGGCCCGCATAGCCAACAATAAACAACAATGGGCCAACTACAAAGAGAGTATCTAAATATGTGAGAAAGGCTACACAATAATTGGAAATGGTTGAATAAACTGAAAATGATGGTGATGAAATACAGTTGGGGAGTTGGAACATTTGGTGCTACAACAGAAAAATAAAACGAATACTGAAATTGAGTTTCAATTGTCTGTTAATCTACGACAATGTCATTATGACACATTTAACATTGTCATTTGGATGTCATTATGGTTTTCTTAATAGCACTAGTGTTATTATGAATTCATAATAACACGCAAATTTTAAAATAAGAAACAAGCAAAAAAAGGTACCGTTTATACGTACATTTAT